TGGGTTTTGAATTGTATTGGTGGTAAAAAAAATTAAAGTTCTGGTTTTATGGATGAAAAAGTATTTTATTGTTTGGATTAAAATACCCTTAAATTCACCCTACAAATTTATCTAAATTCACCCTACAAATTTATCAAAATATCCTTAATGAAACCATTTCTTATATTATTTTGTTAAGAGTAGTTTAATAAATTCTTAGGACAGACCGCAGATCAAAAGTGCAATCCAAACCATAAAACATGAATCCCTCTTTAGAATGTGATAATCAGTGTGAAGCTGAAGGAGAAATGAAATATGCTATATATATTCAATCTTTGATCCAGCTATGTTTACCTTTGATTTTAATTTTACTCACTAATTTTAGTGAGAAGTGGCTTCTGACAAAAAAAATGTTATCTAATGTGTAGGCCAGGTCACCTTTTTCCTCATTTTTTTCCTTCTTAGTTGGCTTTGGTGGATCAAAATCAAACAAGCAACAAAGTGATCTCAGGCCAACTAAATCCCTTCCTGTTGGGTGGATAGATAAAGAGTTTGACCTCCAAGATGAATCCTTTGATAGCTGTGTGGAACGTAGCATGTCTTGTAGAATGGAAAACATACATAAGCTCAGTGAGGATTACCAGCAAAAGAGTCTGTTAAGTGACAATAAGCAAACAACTATTGTTCTTCGTAGTGATGAGTTTGAAGAAGCAGCTGACCAGAAGAGTCCACAAAAGCCTTTAAACAACCCCACAGATGATTCTGCATTTATTACATCTGACTTGTATGAGTTTTTGGGGTCTTCTCTTCCTAATATTGTGAAAGGACGCCAATGGATCTTGCTGTATAGGTAAGTCTTATTACAGAATCTACAGCATTAAGCAAAAGCAGCTTTCAATTCTTGCTTTTGGTACTTGATTCGATATTAATTCTTTCAAATGAAGGGCAGCACCTTGAAACATGGTATATCACTCCATACGCTTATCCGCAACAGTGCAAAGCTTTCTGGTCCTTGTTTGCTGGTGATCTTGTTTATGTGTATTTTTCCTTCTGAATGGTGATCTTAGTTAGTTTTGAATAACTAAAAATATTCAAATTATGCTGCAACTTCCAGATTGTTGGAGATATGAAAGGTGCTGTTTTTGGTGGGATGCTAGAATGTCCCTTGAAACCTACCCCAAGGAGAAAATATCAGGTATGCATTTAACTGTGTTCTCAATGAAGTGTTTCCTTCTCCCCTACATGTTAGCTGAGCTTATCTACCTTCATAATCAACCATGATTCTGTTGTCTAATTATTGGGAAAAAAAATTTCTATATTGTTTCCTATCCTACTTTTGAAACCATGATTCTCTTCTATTCTTAGCATTATTTTCTCTTGTTTGGTTGTTAGGGGACACACCAAACATTTGTATTCACAACCATAGATGGGGGACCAAGGCTTTTTAGACCAACTGGTACGCACTATTTATCTATATTTAATGCAAGTTGTTACCCTTGTTACTAGAGCAAACATGACCAGAGAACATGACTGTCACTAATTACTGTTCAAACTTTTGCGAGTCCTTCTCTGTGTCTGTGAGTGGGCTGAGGACAAGTAACATAAAAGACACTGTATCATATATGGATTATGATGTTTTGGATATACTCCATGAAGATTTTAATCAACAAAGATATCCTCTCTAACCAATTTGATTGAGACCTTCATTCATTCAATTCGCCAACCTGAAATTGCTTTGCATGCATAGGTTTCATGTAAAGTTAATTTTATCAACTTTTAGTGAATAGGCAGCCATTAAAGAAAGTTTTATCCATGATATTGGTTTTTTTTTTCTTATTTATGTACACAGGTGCCAATCGTTACTATTATATATGTTTGAATGACTTATTAGCACTTGGTGGTGGAAGCAACTTTGCTTTGTGCTTGGATGGGGATCTGTAAGTTGCACTTTTTAACATGTCCCTTTCTAAAGCCATGTCAATTGTCTGTTCTTTTCTCTTGATGGTTATCTTCATGTTGACATAGGCTAAATGGAACTAGTGGACCTAGCGAAACATTTGGGAACATATGTTTGGCTCATACTGAAGAGTTTGAGTTAAAGAATGTTGAGGTAATTTTTTTAATTATGTTCAGCTGCAATTATTATTGCCTATATGCTTCATCCCCATTGTTTTTAATTAGAAACTTATCCGAAGGTAAAGAATGTGAAATCTTGAAAACTGCCTGGTTGTCCTGCATATTTGTTTGCTCTGAAGTCAAATGTGATAAATAGGATTCCACATCTACAACATAAAACTTTAAAGTAAGGGCAATTGGGGAAGTAAAAGTAAAGGTGTTATGAATGAGGAATTGTCACATGAATGACTTTGGAAAGAGTTAATGTTCCCTTTATTTCTTTTGGTGGATGGCTATGTTGGACGTGTAAAAATAGAAGGTTTCATTACTGTAGAACGTAGAGAGAAAGAAGTTGACTCAGTTACTATAAACAGTTCTTATGTGCATATCATTGTCCTGTAATAATTTCATTAGGAACATAACCAAAGAAGATAGTACAAGCTTTCTGTTTTCTTTCAATGAGAAAAAAGAAAAAACCTATGCATCGAATTTTGGTTTATCTACTTCTGCAATGCAAAACAAAGTAAAATATCATTACCTTTTCTGTTTCAGTAAAGCAAAATTACTTAAATCCTAGTTTAACTTGCTTAAATTTGAAGTTTTCGAATCCTCTTAATATATATATTTGGCTTCATGTATGCCTGATCATGCAGCTATGGGGTTTTAAGCATGCATCACAATACTTGACCTGATGGAAGGAACGGATATTCTGCTCATTTGTATCTTCAGAAAAATACCCATGATCGACTTTCTTTGTTCTTTTACTTGTATTCTACCTGTTTAGGATTAGATTACATGTAATTGTGGGTTATACCTTCGGATGAAATAATTGAATTTTGAAATGGTAATGTTGATGGTGTTAATTCCCTTTGCAACTCATGAGACTAATAGTGGGTACGGAGAATGAATGATTTCCACGAAAAAACAAAGACTGTCCCCCATTTGTTACCTACTCAATCCACCCTAAACACTTGAAACAACCCTGTCATTTACGTATTCAAGGTACATACACTTTTTACTAAGACCATCTATACACTGCTTCCCTTCATTGATAAACCTCACAACAACAAGAATCTCCCTTCCCGATTCTACCATTTGAGTTCGTTTCATAGAGTGCACCCACCTTCCACTAAACGTTTTCTCTTTAATCCATTCTTCGGGAAAATCAATGAGAATGATCACGATTCAACAAGCTTGTAAAAAACCAGTATCCATGGAACCAGTCCAATATGGTGCCTAAGGTCGTTATAGGTACAGACAATATCTTTTACTACATTTTTTTACCTTAATTCCCCACTTTGGTTATCCAAAAAATTGAAAGGAAAAATAAAGAGAAGAAGAATCTTTTATTTTATTTTCTCGTTTAATTCATTCATTTATTCAAATTAAAATAATAATAATAAAAAATAAAAAACCGATATCCTTCCATTCCCGTTCTATCAGTTGCTCCATTTCCTTCAAACCAAAGTATACTCTTAAACTTGCTGTTGAGACCTGGCCTCCTTTCAGACAGATTTTCACACCGACATGCTATATAAGCAGATGCAAATGCAGTCATCAGCATAAGAACCAGTACGTAACATTCCATTTGAGAATGAAGTTACAGGATACAAATATACTCTGAAGGCTATCAGATCCGATACATAACGAAGCATTAGGGCAACAACTAATCGTTAATGTTAAAAATTATAAAAATTTGTTCAAAATGGCAACACAGAGAACCTCAACGCTTAGGAAATACTGTCCATTACCTCTTACTCGAATTGCTGTCAAAAAGCCTCAGCAAAGAGTTGTACACCTGCTGGCTGCCATGAATAATGATTTTTGGAAGTATAGGAACACCATTAACAATAAACGGAATCTTGCATCCCAGCATGACTTAGTATCCAACAAACCATAACAGCCAGCAAGAACAGCAATTGCAGGTAGGCTTTTTTTAGCGTTTAACCTGCTGCTTTGCATATTGGTGTGAAAACAAGGGGTTTTATGGCTCTTCTGGAGCGCCATCCTCAGATGGGCCAAATATACGGAGATTGTGATCCATTGATCCCACTGCCAAGTACCTTGCGTCTGGACCAAATTTGACAGATGTTACTTTACCTGAAATGAGATTGGAACAACCACACTTATCAGAGAGAGACACAACGAATTCAGAGTAATTCACAACCAAATATACTCTGTGGAAGCACAAAATATCACTGTAAAGAGGCAGGGGGAGAAACCTGTGCCAGACAAATCAGGTAAGGTTTTTAGGCAGTTCCATTCAGTTTTAACAGTTCCAACTTGATACACTCTGTGGAAGCACAAAATATCACTGTTAAAAAGTATATAATATAAAGAATTCTAAATAAGCATATGTTAAAAAAACTGGACTTGCGAAACCGAGGAGAGGGATGGAGACTTTTTGAATGGGAACTATAACTGAGCTTCTAGACAGTTTTATCATCAAAAGCATCAAGTATTTCAACTAGAGAAGCGTCCTATACATGCCAAAACCCCACCTACAAACAGGGATCCTTAATAGCACCCACCTTATATCTGAGCCAGCAATTGCAAGGTAACATCCACTATGGTCGAAATCCACTGCAAGAACCATAACATATATTTCATTATAGATAGTTCATAATTATCAGCTCAATAAGAATCAATAAAGAATTAAGTTTTGCTCTCTTTCTATCACAAATAAGTCGGAAATGCTGAGAGAGAAGAGAGGTGCTTCGCATATAACAATAGGAGTCAGGATCTGATTTCAAGATATTACGTACAGGAGTTTGTTGGAGTATTTGAATCATACAACTCAAATGATCGGAAGTTCTTCAATTTGCGCAGATCCCACAGTTTGACACCATCATGAGCTGCAGTCTGTTCAGTTAAAATATAATCAGATTTACAGCCCAGAACAAATTAGAACAGTCCACATATCCTTGTAAGGAATACCTACCGCAAGGAAGTAACCATTCTCTGAAAAAGATATAGCAGTTACTGCACCAGTATGTCCATCAAAGTTTGCAACATTATTCTGTTACAAATGTGAGAACAAAGAAAGTCATTTTTTATGAAAAAAGTAGAAAGGAAGAAAAGAATCAAAACAGCAAAAAATTGAAGATTTCCAAGAATAATTTACAACCTGACTTTTTACATCCCAAATTCTAACAACAGCATCTGAAGTCCCAGTTCCAAGGATGAGACCATCAGGGTGAAAAGCAGCAGATGAATAGCCCTGGGAATCTGAAGGATGTGCAACCTGCAGAACTAAGAATCTGTGTCATCCAAAAGTAAAGCAGGGAATGGGATCTATGCAATGTCACTGAAAATGGAAAATGGTAGTCATTTAAAATAAAAGGGTGTGTATGATATGTGATACTTAATTACTATCTAAACTATCAATTACCACAATTAACCAATAAACATGCAAAACAATTCCTCATCTGAACAAAAGAAAACTACAGCTCAAATGCCAAAAGAAAATCATCTGTAGAGACTAAATGCTTTCGATAGAACTCTAAAAAAACGTTCTTACAGTTTTGTGAGAAACTGTTAGAAGTCCACAAACTATATACTCAACAATTATAGATCAAAATTCCAGATAAACAGCCGAGCTTGCAACAAATAGTTCAATTTCTCCTAAGTAAAAGTTAAACAGCTTTTCTCAATCAAATATCCCAAGGCAATTAATTTAAATAAAGATCTTGAGATGTCCATGCAAGTGAACAAGATTTAACAACGGGATACATGATATTGCACCCTACATAGAAACATAAAAATATTCAGCACACTGCTACCCTGCAAATACGAGGCAAGGAAAGGAGAGATTCAGACCTGTGCCAAGCATGAGCCAGATGAAAGATCATAGAAGCACCAAGTGCTATCAAGGGAAGCAGTCACAAAGTAGTTATTTGTAGCATGGACGGTTACAGCTTGCACCTGGGAGAGTTGAGAGGTAAGTTGTTTTTGTCAACAGAGGCAGAAAATAAACCAGAAGAGGAGCATAAAAATCAAGTGTCAACAATAAAAGAAACCCAAAGAAACAGGCAATTAAGTTCATAGCATTCATTGGTTATAGAACATGTACATGAATTCAAAAATAATTTTTACCCCAGCTGTATGATCTTTCAAGATGTGGTGACATTCATAGTTCCCATTTTCAGATCCTTGCCAAACACGAACAGTCTGCCACATTTGAAACCAGTCAAACAAGGAAGTGGATTAATACATAAGACATAGAATATTACCCCGCTAGCAGTAGCACTGATATCAAATTAAATTAGGTGTGGTGTGGCTCTACATGGAACCTCAAAATGATTATGCAATTTTGTAAAATGAACCAAGAAGGACCATATAAATTGAAAATAAATACTTTCATTCAAATAAATATTGACGCTTGATAATGGCTTACCTTATCTGCTGAGGCACTTAAAAATAAATCGTTCTGAGCTACAAATTTTACACTTGTAACCTACCAAAGAAAACTGTTATCAGATGAAAAATTCTAACAGGGAGACAAAATTGATGCCACTAATAAAATAATGGGAAATGAATAAACCTTCTTTGAGTGTCCACTAAGAGTAGACAAGATCTGCCCAGAAGTACGATGAAGAAGCACAGCATTTGAATCAATCCCTCCTGTGGCAATGATGTCCTGACCACAAAAATTAAGAAAAGTAAACAGAAAAGAAGACTTGGCAGAAGCATGCAAAAGCAACAAGAAGATGTATATAAATAGTAACAAAGATGTTTCAAAACCATGGAAGACAGCCTGCATAAGCTCCACTTAGTCCAGAGGTAAAAAGTTAGGAAGGCATTACCATTAGAAACACAATCCTTACATTTCACTTACCGTGGCAATAACAAGTAAAATCACCATTACACAGGAAAAGATGAGAAACCAAGATTCCTTATTGATATGACAACAGTGAATGAAATAAATTAAAAATGGGTTTTATCACAAGGTAGCTATACCTTTGAAAGATTAATATCAATTGATGTGATCCCAGCTTTGGTTGTCTTGTGAAGGGGGTGACTGTGAAGCTGGGTATATCTCTCCAAATCTTCCACAGAAACCAATGTTGGAGATATCTAAAGAAGAACACATAGAATAGGTAGGGATTAAGGAGCTACAAAAATAATAGAAATTGTTATCAATCCAGTTATAACAGGAATTAATCATTGATATCCTATCAGAGAATATAAACAGTTGACCAGCTATGATAGATGAAAGTACCTGTCGCTTTTTACGTTGCTGTGAAAGTTCTGTATTGCATTCACTTAGCTCAGCAATGACACTTGGAGAAATCCCAGGACGCATTCTCTTTGCATCTGGGCCCAAATGCTCATCCTCTGCAACTAGAATCATGACAAAAGAGCCTAATAAGATAAAAGATAAATAAAAGAAAAATAAAGATCACTTAGAACATACTGAGAAAGAACCTCTATTCCCATTGCTAAGAGCAGAAATATTGGCAGTAGCTGTTGAGGCTGGAAATGGTAGCTGTCTCTCAGCTTGTGCAAGTAATGACCTAGCTTCATCCCTTTCCCTCCTAAGCCTAGCAATCACACGACAAGCAGCATCATGCTGTCAAAAACAAAGAGGAAAAAGGGTAAAATTAGTTACGTATGGAAACCTGAACAACAATATATTGCAGCTGTAGTCTCATCCTTTCTCGCTTCAGACTTCAGAACCACAAGGATCTTCAAAATAGATACAGTGTTTAACTGGTATTTTTTTCCCACATTATGAAGTTAAAAATATGCAAATAACATTTAGTACCATTCCAAGTTACAAGCTTTCTTACAAGAATTCAGTCAGCCATTAAAGAAAAAGATATGACAAAGTTTTTCTCTTCTAGAAGAGAAATGATAGAAAATAGAATAGAAACATGTTTGTGGGGTGTGTATAAGTGCAGATATCACCAACTGATATAAAACACTGCTTAAAAAAAAAAAAAAAACATAACCTAATTATTACTTATTATTACCTGATAAAGTGCATGACTTAGCTCTTGCCTTGCAGTATGTAACTGTTGCTCCAATGCAAAATTGGATAGCATCAAAGCATCCCATTCCTACAATCAGGAAATAAAATAATGGTTTAATTTTCAACTAAAAGTTTTGCCTTAACAAAGGCAGTATCTCTGTTTCAAAAACAATCACATTCTATCACAGAGAATTCATTTGTTAGAAAGATTGCATCACAATTGTTAAGAGCAAATCAATAGAAAACAAGACCAAACATTATGGAATAAACCATGCTTCCTCCCTCCCTCAGTAGATAAAGGAAAAGCGTGGTCTTTGAGCTCTGAACCAAGTAACCATGTAGGAGTTTGAATTTAATTAAATATGAAAAATTGCATAAGATATATATTAACAAAAACATACATTCTGAAACATCCCAAGCATCCCAGGAATGCTAGCTGCAGTTAACGATCTGGGTTTTACAATCTGTAAAGGAGAAAGGACATAAACAAAGAAACAAATCAGCAAAATCTAGGTACTCTAACAAGAGTGAATAATTAGCTAAAAGAATTAAAAGGCAATAGGTAAACATTAACGTAACAACCAAAGAATGAAGCTTACTTTGCTCGTCTTTATTGGGACAATATCATCCACTGTAAGTGGTTCCCCAGTAACTGGGCATTTTCCATAATCCTGATTACACAACAACAAAATTCTTCTATCAATTGTGAAGCAAAATTTTCAGTCAAAAGATTATATACATAAACCAAAATTTCCCATCCTTGTCTAACAAACAAGTCTAAACTAAGAAATTTCTATTAAAAAACAATAAAAAAAGCATCACGGATGGAGAAAAGGGCTATGTTCCTTCAGTTTCAAGATAATTAACTACTTCTAAATCCTTTCTCAGTTTTCACAAGAAACTTAGATTGGCATCTAAGAAAAGCAGCAGCTCCTAACCTCAGTTCAGTCAAGCAAAGTACTTTTCTAATTGTAATTTTACAGTTTCCTCGCCACTCTTAAAACATGGGTAAAATACAAAAAGATTTTTTTTTTGTTTTCCCTACACTCCCAGCAACCAAAAGGAAACCTTGAATCGTCAAAAATAAATAGATAAATAAATAAATAACTAAAAAATAAAAGAAGCATATTCCATACCGATATGTATCTCTCAATTAAGCGCTTCTCGAAGAGTAATCCCGACTTCTTGGACAGCACAGGCTCCTCCGGCACCTCACCGGAGACTGTAAGGATAACAAAAAACACAGATCCGCGAGATAAACGGGGGGAAGAAGAAGTGAAACCAAAGCATTCAACATACAATGAGGAAGAAAGTAGTAAAGAAAACAAGGACGAAATGGAGAGAGAGTCTTACTTGAACAGTTCATTGTTGCAGGGGAGAAGCTAGGGTTTTAGGGGATGCAAGCGGGGAGATGAAGATTTGGGTTCGTGTAGCAGAGTGAAGAGGACCAGGAACAGAAAAGGGGATACAAAAACGGGTTTTATCAAATGATATATTAGGGATCCGGAAGAAGTAGGCCGAACTTAGATTTGGACTCAGATGGCCCAATCTTAAAGAATTAGGCCCGTCAGGTTAGTCCCTAAAAGACCTAAATCCTTCAAAAAAAATAACATGTCTATGTACTGGGCTGTGGGCTTTGGGCTTTGGGACACTCTATAAACATTCCACAGGAGTTTTTTTTTATTATTATTATTTAAAAAAAATATTATACAATTTGAATTTCCTAATTTATATTATTAAATATGAATAAACAATATCACAGTTTGAACTATATAAATTGAAAAACAAGAGACTCTTTTTGTTAACATAATTTCTATTTGGTTTAATTATTTGAGAACCATGCTCAATGTTCAATTAGAATTAATTATTTATGGTTGTTCCTAAACAACTAAACCAAATAGAACAATGTACACGAAGCTCCAATTAAGCCAAATGTTCTATAGATATCCAAGAACATGAGTACACTCATCCCATTGCATTGATGTGGAGATCTTGGTATCATTAGCCACCCTTTTTCCACATTAGCACAAAGTTGATCTATGATTGTGGGAGAGAGACGAAAACAAAAGGTTCTAATTGTCTAACTCCTTAGACCTTAGTGGAGGAAAAGTTCTCTCCAAAATATCAGCATACTTTTTTGTGTTTTGGTATAGGCCTAAATTCGAGTAATAGGGCTCTACCCAACTTAGAAATAACATTGTAGAGACAATTTTTTTTTTTTTGAAGAATATAGGAACATAGATTTGAATCTCTTAATTGTGTTTGCAGCCATGTTCATATTGTATGCATGCTGCATTAAAAAGTGAGACACAAAAATCGAAATTAGAAAGTTGTTGATTTTGTTAGCTGCTAAAAGGCAGAAGCAGAATATGCGTAAATGACAACAAAATATGTTCTCTGTTAGAAGGAAATTTGTGTCAAAGTACTTGCCACATGTCCATGCATTGTTCTATGACTTTAGAGCAAATCTTATACAAGAAAAACGTGCAAGTACAGAAAATGCCTTATTCTTATCTCTCATTAAAATTTATCATTCAAGTGAATATTAGAGCCTGTTCGATCTAATTGATGTTTATTTTAAATTAAAAATTTTAAATTTAAAACTCTATCAACAAAAACTCTTTTTTAGAAATTATAAACGTATAACTTCAACTTTTGACTCTCTAAACGTAGAAATTTCGTTGCTTAATAAAGAAAAAAATCAATCTGATCTTGTTTCTGCTTATATATTAAAGATAACTTGTTTTAGAAATTAGGTTAGAAAGTCGGGAAAAGAGTCGGTTTTACAAGCTTTGAGGAATTGTTTCTAGGTACGAGTCTAGGACCCTGAGATGCTTCAAGAACTGAAAGATTCAAAGATGATTTGAGGGAAGATAAATGGAGCAAGAAAAGAATTAGGACAATGGGATTATATATGTTGGGATTATAATGTTTTTCATATATACTGCTAATCTTCATCTTGTCCTGGACACGATTTCAGAATAAATTCTGCCATGTGAATAGGACTTTCCTTACTTCTTTTATCCCTTCATGCTAGGTATCTATTTCATCTTTTGCTTGAGCATATTTTGCCGTTTTATTGTTTTTCACTACTCAGCCATTAGTGAGCATCATCATCTTAACTTTTGTTCAATTGTTGGAAGGAATTTCCATCGAACAAGGGAAACAACCACTTTGTGGTATCAGAACTTTGCCCAAAAGTGGCAAAATGGAAGCTCGAGAAAAAGCCGAATTCCATTGCTAAAACAAGTATAGAGATTCACATACATGAAAGGACCAAAACCAAGAACAAATCATTAAGATGATTTTTCATTAATTATGTGTTAGGAGGGTATGTTTGGTTGTAGAGACACTTGCACAAGATGTGTTAGCCTGAGTTTGCTAACAATCAAAGCACGGGTTTTTTCAAACAAAAGCCAAAGAATTCCATGTCCTAACATGTGTGAAACATGCAATATCGTACATGAAGTTTTGCTCATGACTATGGAATAAAGGGGGCGTTATGTACCTAACTTGTAGACTCAAATCTTAAACTAGATTCCATTATGTAACACTAGCCATAGGGGTTAATATAGATGTTGTGTATGGGATGTGGTTATAATCACCACAATTTTGTTGAGATTACTAAAAAGTTATTTAATTTTATTGATATCTCATATGTTTATAGTTTTTTTTTTCTAAAACAATTAATTATGATATTTAAAAATATCAATTATCAGTTATTTTTAACAGTTTAACTAACTAAAATTAAATAACCTTAACAATACAGTGGATGACTATAACCACACCATTATGTATGAAATCAATGGACTAATCTTACATTAATATATCAGTTTCATTTTTCATGCATACATATGTGAATGAGATTCAAAAGGCATAAAAAAAAAAGGGTTTGACTAATTTTGAGCATACTTTAGAAATTGGATGGCCCTTTCAAGCAAATTGTAATTGGAACAACTTCTAACCTCTAAGCGCACTTTTGTGGTGAAAATTGAAAATTGGGTGACTTATTCTCATATATGGTTACAGGAAGTGGAGTGGAGAGTGATTTTGATTAGGCCTTGTTTGGACTGCTGTTCTTAATTGTGGAAAGAAGGGAATAAATTCGGAGGGGAGGATGGAAAATCTTTTTCCTTGACAGGGACGAAACCTGCACAGCCACGGATTTTCCATAAAGAACAAGAATGAGACACCATTAAAGGAAAAATAGCTATAATAGAGAGCACTTTTCTATCATGTTTAGTTTGAGAGAAATTAAGAGAAAGAAAGTGGATTGAAGGAAGAATACCTTATTTCAACCAATTAAATTAAATTATTAGGTTAACAAAATAATTTAATTAATTATAATAATTTTCACTTCACTCCTCTTTGCTTAAACCAAACAAATTATAAAATTGAGAGAAACAATTTTCTAATAAGTCAAGATTCTACATGAAGATGGAAGGAATTGTTTTAGAAGTTATTACTTTGGAATCAGCTGATGTTAACTTCGTTCTTATCTTCTACTGAAGAAATTCCCTCAAATACCATAAGAGAAAGAAGAAGAAGAAGAAGAAGAAGAAGATAATTCTTCATTCCCACAAAATCATTTGCCTTCACTTTTAGAATTATACCTCATTCCTTATTTTGCATTATCAATGTTAAATAAAAACAAGTAAATTCTGATTTAACCAACAACTTGAAAAAAAAAAGCTTTTTTTTTACCCAACTAAAAAAATTAGCAACAAAATTTACAAATTAAAACAATTATCTCGGTTAGATATTGATTATGCATGCCATTTATTGTATTTAAATAGTTAACCTAAACAATCTTTTCATTCATTAAAACATCACAATTAAAATGTATGAATAACAACAACAAAAATTAAATACCCTTAATAAATTAATATATAAAAAATATTCATTAAAAGTATTTAAACAATAAAAAAATCAAAATGTTATGACATTTTAAATATTAATATGTCTTAATTTTTTTTTTTCACTTAGAAAAAAGGTTGAAAAATGGATTAAAGAAGCTTTTAGAAAACAAAAAATATATTTTTTTATTAGGGGTGGAAACTAGAAAGAAAATTTAGGATAATTTTCCAGGAATATTGCTGATTGTCTGGAAAAATATAAAGAAAGAGAGAAGTTTTTGAATTTGGTTCCATAAACCGGGCTGTGGGAGGGAACTTGGTCAACTGAATTTCAGCCGAGCCGAACCTTTATATTCCATGGCTAATGCTTTTTGTATAATTTTTTTATCTTATCTTTTTGTACAACTTGATGTATCAATCAAAATGATTGATTTTTTAATTCATATGACTCGTGATATTAAATGCATCTATTCAATTGTATAAAAAAATAAAAATAAAAATGTTGTCCCTTAGCACTACCCATATTCCGAACCGGAATGCCACTTGTCTTCAGATCCACGTGTCAACTTCCTATAGTCCACGCTGGCAGGAAGTAGGAACTGGCGGTTCACCGTGATTCTCTATTTGGCTTAGAGAACAGAGTGCCAAGCAGGAACAGACATTGCCCCCCACCTTCCCTTATATATCTCCAATTCCAGACACCCCAAACGTTCCATTTTCTGACACAAGGTTACAGATTTTCTCTCCCCCTCAAAGCACCCTATTGTTTCTCCAGGTTGTCTTTGTTTATATGAAGTTGTCTCCTTCACGTTTGAAGCTCAGAGGAAATAGAATTGTCTCTGCAGAGCAACATTGATTGATCTTTCTTTTTTGTCTTTTAACTTGTTCGTTTCTGTGTTTCTTAGGGGGCTACAGCTTTGGATTCTTCCCTCTGGAAAAAAAAAAACCATGTTGCAGGACGTGATTCAACCGCCGGAGCAGCTCCTCATTGTAATGAAACCCTCCTAAATCCTTGCATTTTCCCATGTTTTTTTTTTTTTTTTTTTTTTTTTTCATGCATGTTAAGTTCTGAAATGATGATGTTCTGTTTCATAACAGTTATGTTGGCATAATCTACAGATTCTGTTTCTTTGATCACGGAAAATTTATAAAACATATTGATCATCTATAGAGAATTTTTACTTTGTTGTTCTTAAATCGTTACCTGCCTTTATGTCTGACAGGTTTATGAGAAAATGATTTTTGGATTTTGGTTTCTTTCTTCCAATCTTTGTTTTCATAGATTTTCAAACGTTTCCGTATTACTCATGTCATTTTCAGTTCAATCTCTTTCAGCCCCCCTGACTTTCCCTTCATTTTTTTCGCAAAATTCTTCTGTTATATTGGATATTATGTCCAAGTCTCATATCAGAAATGTCTCATTCTTTAAAATGGTACTGCGTTATTCTTAGGCTTTGCTTGAGTGCGTGAACGATGTGAATGTTTGTCTTTCAATCTTTTCTCCTAATGCTCTATGGATTGACCGAAAAGGTAGAGATAACAGAATAATATTGTTAGTGGGTTAATTTTGATCATCTTTGACGAATGTCCAACAAATAGTATTAGTTTCCCACGCCACGACATTCACTCTAGATAACAATCTACAAGTTTCATTCATTCTTCTACACAACCCTTTTTCCTATAGGCAGTGTCATTTTCTTGGGGCACCATCCCCAAAGTAGTAGTAATCAGATCCTTTGCATTTTTCCCAACTTTTCCTTTCATCACTATGGAACAAGTGGCTTCTCATGCTTTTCATTTAAGCTTTCTGACTTTGATTCTTTTATGCTTTAGTTTTAGATTGATCATGAAAGAGCCCTAGTGACAGCATCCCACATGGACAACATAAATGGGTTCCTTAAGTATTGTTCAATTCCCATTGTTTGTTTGAACTTGTCTATTTCCAAATCTTCAGCCAAAATAACGTACCATTAACTTCTTTCTTTGTTAATGCCACAGACTTTTTGCTAACATTAGGTACTTATCATTTCTTACATGTCATGTGGAGCATAGATACACATCTTTTTCTTCTTTCTACAAAATATCCCACTATAAGATTATCGTCCTCAAGAGATTTTATGTGTTTCTGATAAAGAAATGGAAACCAGATTGATGCCTGGCAACCACGCCCATGAACTGATAGAATGGGCAGAGACTTACATCTTACTTCTGTCATAACAGGAAGAGATGTAAATCGGCCAATCTGGACCCAACAGCTCATGCCCCTTCCTGATAAATATGGACAAAAGACACAAGTGAAACCTGAAAGGATGTACATCAGATTCCCTTGCTTGTACTTTTGACACAGAAACTGATGGAACATAACTCATTAATTTAAAAACGTACTTAAAGCACCAAGTAGCTAAGTCTTGATCGCCTGGATGCTGAAGACTACTCAGCCTTTGAGAGAACATTAGCTATTTCATAGGATTTGATCTTTTGGATCATGACATCTTCATCTTTCACTAAATAAGAACTAGATTCAAACCCCATCATATGAAAAATATGAAGAATCAAGATGCCTATGAGTCTAAGGGAAAGGTTGATCCTGATGTTTAGTGATAGTAATAATAGTATTAAGCTTAAAGTGCATATGTTTTACTGGTTAATGTAACTTTTCTTCATGATCTTAACATTTCTTTTCCACTATTTTACAGGATGAAATCTCAAGCCCAATCATTGGACCAGTGCTTGATTTTTGTGACACTGATTTATTCCCAGAAAACCCGCAGAACCCCGAGGTCACTTCCAATTCTTGCTATGAAGAGAATTCCTCCTATGCAACTAATCTTTCCATGCCCCTGGAGATTAAAAAGCTCAGTAGCTACCAAGATAACCATGGAATGACAAACATAGCCACCTCAACAACCACCACCACCACCACCACTGTTTTTACTGCCACTGCTACCACCAACAACAATACCGGTAATCTGTCCATAATCTTTGATTCCCCAGATGAGACTGATAATGAGATTTCAATAGACTTTGCTCCATCTCCACCCTTTTCTTTTCCTCATTTTCCAACAACCCACCCAGATCAATTTGACCACACCTTGGTGCAACCTCAAATCCCATCAACAGATGTGGTTGATGGGCTCACACGGTACTCTGCTGAGCCTGTAGTGCCTCTCATGGGACCTCCATTACCTGCAGTTTTTGAAGAAGATTGTTTGTCCCCTATACCTTCTTATGTACCATTAAACCCCTCATCCCCTTCTTTCACTTTACTTGGCACTTCTATGGCAACATTCATGCCTGCTGGGGCAATGACTGCTGCATTACCTGCTGACAGTTCTGGTATTTTTGCTGGAAGTCTTCTTATGGGGTCTGAATTACAACTACAAGAATTGGAATATCAGGGTGATAATGGTGGAATCTTCTGTCCAGATTCAATGCAGCATGCTTTTAACCTTGGAGACCTGCAGGTAATTATCTGATATCCTATCTGGTAAATCTGATTACCATACAGTTCTCAACAAGGGGTAAATTAGAACAGTCCTTTTGGATTGAAGAACTTTCAGAACTTTCCTTAGATACTGTCATCTAAAGTCTTGCCTTTATGATGATTAACTACAGGTTGAAAAACTTTATTAACAAAAGGGAATTTTGGTAACTAAAAAAGTCTACTAACCTTGTCAATTTTGTTTGTGATTGTTCCAGCAGGTCCTTACTAATGAGAGCCAACAACTTGGGGCTGTAGCTGCTAGTTCTACTCCTATAACATCAGAGATTTCAGGTTTGGAAGATTCAACTTTTAACAAACTTGGCAAACTCTCTGCTGAGCAAAGGAGGGAGAAGATCCATAGATACATGAAGAAAAGAAATGAGAGGAACTTCAGCAAAAAAATCAAGGTTCATTCACCTCCCCCCACCTCCCTCCCACACACACATCCCTCTGCCCTCCTTCTCTCTTCCCATATTATACATGCATGCACATACATGGAAAAAACGCACCAAGGACGACCAGAATATGCACTAAAACCCTTCTGTTTTTAATTTGCAGGAAAATTGTCTTTCATAATCTGTACATATATCATTCCTAAAGATTCTTAGCTTAGAATTTTAGTGCTCTAGTACTAATGGAAGAACTAATTATGCAGTATGCCTGCCGCAAGACACTAGCAGATAGCAGACCTCGAGTAAGAGGAAGATTTGCCAAGAATGATGATTTTGGGGAGACAACCAGGCCAACTTGTAGCAATCATGAAGAAGAAGATGATGAAGAAGTAAGAATGATCTTTCCCTTTTATTAGCATAGAGAAAAGTTACAATACCCTGTTTAACATGCAAATCATTGAACACGTTTTCTCTTTGGCCTAAACAACAACACAGACTAAAGAACCAGGATTCCTAAACTGATTCTGCACCATGAAACTTGTTGGTTTTAATTCCCTTCAGGTTGTTGTGAGAGCAGGGGAAGACATGGTGGATTCCTCAGACATCTTTGCTCACATCAGCGGTGTAAACTCCTTGAAGTGCAACTACCCCATACAATCCTGGATTTGACTGGCTTCTTAAAAAACAAGAAGCATGCTACACTTTTGCAAAGACCCTGTTTCAGCCAGGATAACTCTCTCCTTCCAGGTTCAATTTTACAATAAAAAAGACATATTCGGGTCATTATGGTTCAGGAATAATCAAGTCAGCAAATAAAAACATAAGATTTTGTAGATTACATATCACAGCTTGTTTCTCTAATCTGGCAAACCTTGTATCATACCTGCCAGAATTCATAGCTTAGTTTTGCACTTAAATCTAAGAGAGTGGCTTTACATTCAGTACTATTGTGTAATGCAATGCTTGACTCTAAAATTGTCTAACATTGAGGCTTACTGCTTGTTGTACTTAGCTCAATTTAGACTTGTAGATTTGGAAATCCATCTTTCCCTTCGTCTTTTTATTCATTGTATTGTGATTGTCCTATTTCTTCCTTTCCTCTCCCTGTTGGGCCTTATCAAGCTTTCTTAGGCCCTTGTATAAATTGTCTTGGTATGGACCCTCGACCCCAAAATAACTATACTGAATTGTGAGACCCTAGCAGGCAAGTTCTTTGAAGGCATCTAAAGGTGAGGGGTTTATGGACCCTTTATTAGACCTTTTGGGGGGAAGGGGGGGGGGGGTGTTATGGACTTTATAATGACATTATTGAATAGGGACACAAAACTTGAACCTTTTAAAGATTTTAATTTGTCTTTTAATTACTAGACAAAAAAATTGTGAACGAGACTTAGCTTCCCCATGACTTCTCTTCTTTGCTCCCCAATAATTAGATTGCAACATGGGGATGGCAGAATCTAGAAGGGGTTTCTAATAATTTTCATGTCATTGACATTTTCTAGAGAAGGCTTGATTTACCAAACCCATGACAATGAATGGAGCTGGTATGCTTTCCTCTACAGCGTCTCTTCAACAACTGTTTTCAAGGATTAATTCAATTATTAGGTTTCACCTATTTACCCAAAAAAAATTGTTAAGAGTTTATCCCATTGAGCACCCATGGTTCAGAGAATTCCCATTCATTGACTTTAATATGAAGTTAGGTTTGATTTAGAATGTAGACTTTGATATCATAAGGACAACACATGTCTTTTTCATTATATATTTGTTAGGTTGTTGGCTTTGACGGTAACCATAATTATAAAGAAAGAGAAACCGTTTCCTGTGAACCAAAACATATATAGTCCTAGAGTCCTTCCAACTACGATGCTAAAAATTGTCTATATATGATCTTATTGGACCTACATTTTTGAAAAATTCAACATGCCGGTAATTTTGGTTTATGACCTGTGAGACCAGAGGAACGTGAAGAACTTCCTACTCCACTAATATCTATGAAAGTTAAATTCACAACTTCAAAATTGTAAAGACTCAGTCTTTATGACATTGGACCAAAAAATAATTTGTTGACAACTTAAAGCATTTTATCTATCATTATTGTCCTTGAAGAAATTAGTTTCGAGTTGATAAGCATAAAATTCCCATGTTGCGCAACTTAATTAATGATACTTGATTTAGGCCATAATCATACCGATCCAAAATAGTATTATTATTTTTTTATATTAATTTTTTGGTATTTGGTAAGCACATTAAATCTTAATTAATTTGGAATTGAGTTGAGAATCATATCGGATTTCATTACGCGGAAGTTTTCTCAGCATTTATTTCTCTATTTAAAAAATTAAAACTTGAGACTTTATTTAAAAGATCGAACTTCTTCTACTCGAATTAATAAATCGTTGATTTCAAAATAGTATTGTTATAAGCTATAAACTGAAAAACATTACTTAATCTCATTGATGATAACAAGACTTGAAGAACCAATTCCACGCACAATATGAGGTGATGGGCCCAACCCATGATGGTGAAATGTAGAAATGATCTTTTCTTTAGTCGTGGAAAGTGGAATCCCCAAAGGCTCAACAACCCCTAATTCCTACTTAGTGGAGGTGCCATTAGTAAAACACTTGCACAACCTGTAAATATTGCAAATGCAGAATATATCTTTTACCCTTTGAGTCCACCAACCACTTTTAAACCTAGATATCTTAAAAACGTGCAACATAATTATTTAAAATGTAATTGATGGTACATAAATAATATTTAATGATTATTAATTATTATTATTTATAATTTAAAATATTTGATCTATATGGTTACATTCGGCAATTAGTAATTATTTACAAAATTTCAAAACAAATATTAATTAAAGAATAAACTTTAGTATGT